AATACCAAGGAGGATGAATGCTAGATTGTAAAGTAAGAGTCTGCTTCATTTTGTAAGGCACTGCCAAACTGTCTTCTACACTGCCTTCCATGAGCAGTGAGAGTTCGATTTTATTGATCATTTCAAAAAATCAGTCTTTGGTTTTGGTAATTTTCTTCTATTGATTTCAATTTCATTGCCTTCTGCTCTAATTTTTGTTCTCTTCTTTTTGTTTGTTGGTTTTCGTTTTTGAGACTGGGTCTATGTAGTCCCAGCTGTCCTTGAACTTGAGGTGATCCTCCTGCCTCAGCCTTCCAAAGTGCTAGGATTACAGGCATGCACCACCATACCTCGATTTTATTTCTTTTCTTCTGAGTATTTTGCATTCAGTTTGCTACCTTTTTTTTCTAGTTTCCTAAGTGGGGACTTATTTTATTGGCTTTAGATCTTTCGACTTTCCTATATGGTATGCACATTCAGTGCTACAAATTTCCTCCTAAGCACTGCTTTCTCTGTAGTGCTTTCTTTGGCCCCTCACTAGCTTTAATTGAGCATTTTATGATTCCATTTTCTCTCCTCTCATTATCAATAACACTATTCTATATCATTTCCTTTCACTCTGAGGAACTTCTTTTAACATTTCTTACAAGGTAGGGAGGTTTACTGTCAACAAATCCCCTCTACTTTTGTTTACCTGAGCGTATCTATTTCTTGTCCACTTTTGAAGGATAATGTCTGTGGATACAGGACTTCTGGTCTGGTGGGTTTTCTCTGTAAACATTTTAATTACTTCACATTACTCTCTTATTGCTTCCAAGGTCTGCTATCTCTCCTATCCTACCTCTGGCTTCTTTCAAGATGTTTTTTCATTTTCTTTGACATTCTGTGATTTTTTTTTTTTTTACTTGTTCATTAATTTCTGAAAATCTCAGCCATTTAAAAATATTTCCTCTTGTCTTCTCTTCCTTCTCCTTCTGGTATTCTAGTTACAAATATGATATACCTCTTGTAGGTGTCCCACATTTTTTTGGATATTGTTTTGTTGTTTTAGTTCTTTCTCTTTGCTACTTCAGTTTTGGATTTTTCTAAGCTCAAGACTTCTTTCCTTGGCTAGTGTTCAGTCTATTAATGAGCCCATCACAGGCATTCTTCACATCTATTAACAATATTCTAGGATTTATTTATTTTTCTCCCCTCTCCCCCCCTCCACTCCCAACCCCTCTATACCTATTTTTGATTATTCTTTAAAGTTTACAGCTCTGCTTACATTATCCAGCTGTTCTTACATATTATCCACTTTTTTCCACTAGAAGCCTTAGGGAATTAATCGTAATTGTTTCTGATTCCCAGGCTGATATCTTTTTTCTTTTCGATACTGAGAATCAAACTCATGTCCTTGCAGTTACAGGCAGGCGCGGTGCCACTGAGCTACATACATCCCAGCCCTCTCTTTAGTAACTGTATCTGATTCTGACGCTTGCTCTGTCTCTTCAAATAGAATTCTTTGGCCTTTATTTTGCCTTATAATTTTCTGTTGAAAGCTGGACATGATATACAGTAGTAGGTAAAAGGAAGTGAGTTGAGTAGGACTTTAGGGTATGCTTTGTGCTTATCTGGTTAGGACTTAAACTCAGTTAAGATGTTTATTATTCACTTTATCTGTCGGTCTCAGAGGCAAAATTTCAACGTGCATCCTTATCTCCCCTGTAGCCTTTGGGTTTCCAGAGACTGCTTAAATAAGGTCCCAGACGCTGCAGTGTTTTCAGCCGTAACCTCCTTATAGACTACCGGAGCCCCACGTATGTAGTAGTGGTAAGACGTCAGGAGAAGTGAAGCATTCTGCTGTCCCGTGATAGTCATGAGCCTGCACCTTGAGGCTGTGACCTTCAAAAGGCCCAGCCTCTGTAGGTAAATTGAGGAAGCCAAGATGAGGCTGTTGGGGGTGGGGGTGCCTTCTCCCAGGCCAACCTGGCTCTGGGGAAATAGATTTTCCTGAGGGCAGGCCTTGTTAAAAACAGCAGATTGCTCTGGGGTATGTTTCAAAATGGCTATTCTCCCCTGCCTTGTCAGAAGTGTGTAAAAGGGGCACTTCCGCAGAATGTGAGAGTTGGAAGGACTCCTAGAGGCAGAACTCACAGAAGTGTGGAATTCTCTTGAGAGGATCCCACAGTTGGTAACTCTCAAGTCTGAACACGCTGAGCCTCCAGCAATTCCTCATCATCACTTGAAGTTCCCGCCCGGGGCCCTGGGCTGCAGCGGCAGTTATTTATTACAGTCTCAGTTCTGTACCACACATCTATAAAGCTTACTCCTCCTAACTGCAGTTGTGTACTCTTTCATCAACATCGCCCTTTTCCCTAACCACTCTCCCGGCCATCTGCTGGGAACCACCATTCTGCCCTCCACTTCTGTGAGTTCAGCTGTTTTTAGATGTCACATATATGTGAGATCATGCGCAGTACATGCATCTTTCTGTGTCTGGCTTATTACACTTAACAGTGTCCTTCAGGTGCATCCACATTGTTGCAAGTGATAGAATTCTCTCTCTGTGTGTGTGTGTGTGTGTGTGTGTGGTTGAACCCAAGACCTTCACAATGAGATACATCCCTATCCTTTTTTTATTTTGAGACAGGATCTCAGTAAGTTGCTAAATTGCCCAGGCTGGGCTTGAACTTGCAGTCCTGCCTCAATCTGCAAAGGGCTAGGATTACAGGTGTGTGCTGTCACACCCAGCACCCCCTGCCTTTCTAAGCCTGAACAGTACAGTGGACCCTTGACTAAGGAACTGAGGGCTGGTTTAACTAAGTCAATACAGCTGAGCTCTGGCTGTTTCCCTGGGTACACACTATAGATAACAAGAGGCAGATGACTCTTCCATTAACCTAATTAACCTGTTGTTTGTATGTCAGGCCAGTTGTAATTTGGGGGTTCACTGTTTTCCACTGTGTATGTCCTTTCTTTATCCATTCATCAATCATGGTGGTCACCCAGCTTGTTCTGGATCTTAGCTACTGTGAATAATGCTGCAATGAGCATGGGACACAGATATCGCATCAGTAGCCTTAATTAATTAATTTATTTTTGGTACCAGGGATCGAACTCAGGACTTTGTGCCTGTGAGGCAGGTGGCGGAACCACTGAGCTAAATCCCCAGCCCCAGTAACCTTAATTTAAACCAACCGTACAGACTTGCTTTCATTTGCAATCTTTCTAATTATCAAGCAAATGATCTGGTCACAGGCTTAACAAGCCCATTCTTGTTATTATTTCCAGATTAGGAGCTGCTGGGTATTTTTACTTGAACAAAGTAAAAGGATATCTCAATAACTTAAATGTGATTCCATTTGCTTTGCTTCTCTGCTTAGAAGACTACACTATAGAAATCTATTACCCAAGATAAAATGGTAAAAAAAAAAATTTACTAGAAACTACAAAGAAGAAATGAAAAGAAACTAGGTGTGGGGGCATACACCTGTAATCCCAGCTACTCAAGAAGCTGAGGCAGAGTTGCAAATTTAAGGCCAGCCTGGATGATTTAGTGAGATCTTACCTCAAAAATTAAAAAAGGCTGGGTATGTACCTCAGTGGTACATACTTAACCTAGCACATGTAAGGCCCTGGGTTCAATCCCCAGAACCTCAAAAAAATTAAAAGAAAATGTTTTGTTATTTTAGAAATTAACAAATGGTCTCCTTGGGGCATTCAGGGAAATAATTTATCTAACATGTATCTAAACTACTGTTGAATTTGTACAGTGTATTCCCTTGACATGAGCATAGCTATTAAGGCATGAAGATAACTAATTTGTACAGTATCTTCACTGTCATGAATTAACTATTTTGATTCCTATTTAAAGATACATGTGTATAATCAGCTTCGTCTAGGAGAGATCTTATAATAAATAGAAAGGAGATCTTTTAACTGTTTTAGAACCTGGATGCATAAAGATATTATTTACTTTTATGGCTCATCCAATACTAGCTAGTCTTATAAATTCGGCCCTGTTATGTGGGGGATGCCCTATTGATCATGCCCAAAGCAGGCTGTGTGCAGTGCAGGCTGTGTGCAGTGCAGGCTGTGAAGAGTTAGCCCTGCAATTGGCTCATTTTAAGAAATGAGTCTGACTGAAACCTACGTGACTCACAGAAGCACCTCATAAGCACAGTGCTTGTGCACAGGTTAGCATGACCTTCCTGCTAATGGCCACAGCAGAGACCAGAGAAATGGCCTGTGAAGCCCTGGGGCTCAACACTGAGATAACGTAGTAGCTAAGGTTGGAGTAACTCACACCCAAATGCCATTCCCACGACTTAAACCTTAACTAGAAGGACAAGGTTCATTAGAGCCCTATATTTTGTGTGTTGTTCCTAATTTGTGAATGCTTTGTCTTTTCCAAGCCTTGTCTGCATTAGTATCCACAGCAATTGCACAACTGTGCATCCTCACACGTAGTTCCCCTTTTACTCCAATCTGATTACCAATAAAAATCAATGGCTTGGACTGACCAGGGCCTTTGCTGGTTTCTCAGCACTGGCCGTCCTGGGTCCCCACTTTTTTCTTTAATTCTTTTAATTTCTTTTAATTCTTTCTTCAGCCCTGTGTCATACACTGGGCAGGAGACTGGAACCTACACAGAGGTCTCTGGTACTACTAAAGATGGTAAGTCCCTTTCTATCCACTGTCTTGGCAAGAACAATCTGTAATTCCAACATGTCTTGGTCCCTGTTAGAGATTTGCTCATATTTATCAAATTAATAAAATATATCTTATTAGCATGCTTATATTAAGGTAAATGAGCTTAATACAGAAGATACTTATTATGAAATTAGTTGGTCATATGTGAACAGTGTAAAAGATTGATAGGCAAAATTTTATTTTGTGATAACTACTTTTTTGTCATTGTTAAGATATAACCTGAGCTAAGAAGAAAACAGCTGTTCTTTATAGAAATTAATAAACTATTTACGGTACAAGCCCATATACCTGCAGTAAGTACCATGAAAAAATTGAAGATAACACTGAATGGTTATAAGAAATTTAGTGAGCTTAGTGTCATGTATGCCAGTAATGTTTTTCACATGTCCTAATATTAACTGAAAGCTCAAGTGGTCAGATGAAAAGAGACATGTAACTTCGGAACAATTACTGTGGCTGCAATAAACCTACAACATACACACAAACACACAACCCCCCCAAAATCCATTTTAAATAGATGAAGGAAAGCAGTAATATAATTTACTTAGAAATGCTTCAAAGATGTTCTTTCCTGATTAAATCTGTGACTACTTCATTTTCCCCCTTCACAAAAGGTCCTTAAAATCGATCAGTAGAGCTGGATGTAGAGGTGCAGGCCTGTAATGCCAGCACTCTGGGGGCTGAGGCAGGAGGATCACCACAAGTTCAAGGCCAGGCTGGGGTACACAGTGAGTTCAACACCAGCCTGAACTACAGAGTGAGACCTTGTCTCAAAACACAAAAGAAAACAAAACCAAAACCAAAAATTGATCAGAGAAGCTTCTGGCATCTAATTCTGTAGGCTCTGTCATGATGTCCCATCCTGAGGAACCACATGAACAGTGCAGCTGCTTGCACAAACAACACAGAAACCAGGGAATTCAGATTCCCAAGGGTGGTAATGAAGTATTCTATTTGGTGATTTCATGGGAAATCCACGAAGTTTTCTTTTTTAGAATAGATGCACTTTCTTTCTTCTAAAACAAGCATAATGAGGCAAAATATTTGAGGGAAAACAAGACAAAAGTACAGGTCTTGGAGGAAGAAACCTGACATTTACCAAGAGTGTGGGGAGATGACACACTAACGCTTAAATGATGCAGTCCATGACATGGATCTGTAAGGTGTCTATGTCAGGCAGGACCTCCCCACACTTGGGGCAAGAGTGGATCGGAATGCTCCGGGGCTGCTGTTCCTGCCAGTTCCTGTTGTCAGCTCCTGGGAATAAGCAGAAAATGAAATTTCCATTAGCTCCATCTTGCAAGCACTCTTGTTTGATTTTAAAAATAACTGGTTAATTTGAACATCTGTTAAACTCTGTAATCAGTACCTAGTAGGATATGATCGCAAGTTTCAGTCTTCAATGCTTGCACACACAGAAACAGAAATCTCTAAACACTGCACCTGCTTCCCTATTCTTTCAGGATTTAAACCATATTCCAAGTTGAAGGTCTGTGAAAATACAGTTTCAGTACTAGGTATAGGACAAGGCATGTGGTAATGAAAACTAGTGTGTGTGTGTGTGTGTGTGTGAAAGGGATGAATGAGGATTAGGCAAAGGGAGCGAGTGTGGAGGGAGAAATCAAGTCAGCATGGGAGAGGCCTCTGGCTGCAGTTCGCCAAACCCTGGATGACAAGCAGAACCCAGCACACCGACTCTTCACTGGACACGCTGGTGCCTCCACCTGTGCTTTTCTTTTTGTTGCAGACCAGGCCTCGAGGCCTGCACTGGCGCTGCTGCTCCAGCCTGCTGTAGTTCCCCCCTCCCCCCTTTACCTCGGTGAGCTTAGTCACTTTCCTTATCAGCCCATCACGCGCACTCCCCCGTTGCCCTTTACTCTCCCTGATTGAAATCCCTCTTCCAGGTCACCGCTGAGGCCCATCTTCTCCAGGCCTCTCTCAAGCCCTGCCTTAAGAATCAATCTTTTCTCTGTCATCACCACTGTCCTTTTCATTACCCTGAGTGCGCTCCTCTTTTTATGTGTGCATCCTGTCCCAGCTACACCACACCCTTACAGTGTGCTGTGTAGCACAGGCCAGTCTTGAACTCACCTTGGAGCCCGGGCCAGCCCCGAACTAGCAGTGATCCTCCTGCCTCAGCCTCCCGAGTGCTGGGATTACAGCCATACATCACTACGCCCAGCTTCATACTCCACTTTTAAAACCCATTTCAGCCAGGCATAGTGGCACACATGTGTGATCTCAGCACTCCCGAGGCTGAGGCAGGAGGCCTGCCCAAACCACATAGTGAGTTCAAGACTGGCCTGAACTAATAGTGAGACCTGTCCCAAAACAATCAAATGAAATCAAATCCCTTTCTGTTTCTGGTCACTGCCTGAATGCCCTGAACAGAGCAGACATTTATATGACTGCTGAAGACAACAGACAGATGTATCAAGAGAAACTATTGGTCAAAGCAGTTTTGTTAAGAAACTAAAAAAAAAAATCTTAAGATAGTCCTGTGTTTGAAATTTTATAACCCCAAAAAACGTATTAGGATTAATCAAAGATAATTTTATACTTGTAAAGATTTTCTAGATTATAAATATTTATCCAGACTAATAAGGTTTTTTTTTTTGGTACCAGGGATCAAACTCAGGACCTTGCGCTTGCAAAGCAGGCAGCGGAAGCACTGAGCTACATCGCCGGCCCCAAACTAAGTTTTTTAAATGTAAATAAGTATTTGCCTTGCAGAGTTATAAAGAACAATCTTTCCTTAAGAAATCCAGGTATAAGAAATTGGCCTTTTAGGGCTGGGGATTTAGCTCCAGTGCCTGCCTGGCAAGCACAAGGCCCTGGGTTTGTTTCCTGGAACCAAAAAAAAAAAACCTAGAAATTGACCTTTTAGACTCAAGACAACCTTGTGAGGCCCTTCTCGAAATCAGCTATACAGCTGTTCCTGGGGTATTTAAATCAGGTTAGAGCAAATGCCCGGCAGTGCTCACCTTGGCAGATGCAGCTGCCAGGGAACGCAGTTTACCCACTGGTGCTAAGTGCCCTCAGCAAGCATTTATGTCTGCTGCTGCGCTGCCTCTTCTGCATATGTACCATGAGTGAGTGATACTGTGCCTAAAAAGCAATACTCTCTGTCTTACTCATTTTGCAGTAGTGGGTATCGAACCACTGTTTTTATTTTTAACCTGCATTACTACCTCTATATTTACTATGACTTTCTTTCCCCCCTGTAGGAGAACTTAGGCGGGCAAGGGGAAGGGGAGAATGGGTAGCAGGAAAGATACCCAGAGAGACCTTTCCTCAAGACTTGACAGTTCACTTGTGCCAACACTGCTTCCCTGTTTCCATTTCAATAGGCAGGAAGCATGTGACAGGGACTTGGGTAGGTCCAGCATTTAAAAGCAAATTTTATAAAATTTGTGAAAATTTCCAATTTTGTGAAATTGAAGATGGTACTAAACTTTTCTTAGTGGCACTGCCATGAACTCTTTTCCAGCTATGTTGGTCTTTGATCTTTGGATTTTTTCGTATCTAGAATCAAGGATAATACTTCCCTTTTAGTGACTTATAAATTACAGAACATTATTACTGTTATTAAAACCAGGTACTACTAAATACAGCACCACACTTTTAAGAAGTATCACGATCGAACAAAAAACTAGAGCCATTTATAGCTAAATGGATGCATACTGAGGCCATCCTCTTAAGTGAAATAAATAGGACACATGTGTGTGAATACCAAATAGTTTCTCTAGTGTGAGAAACTGAAAGTGTAAATAAGGATTAAAATGATTAAAATGAATAATTTATTATTTGAAATAAGAAAAGGTCCAAAGGTGGAGGGTGGCGGGAGGGGAAGGGGAAAGGCAAGAAGAGAAAGGAAAAAATGTGAGAAGAGGAAAAAATGGAAACGAAGTCTATGTAAATAGGGAAGGGTGGAGGGGGTGAAGGGCACACAGGGAATGGGGAAAAAATAAGAACCAAGATGCATCAGGTACAAGCACCCAATGATAAATGTAAACGTATACCTAAAATGTACCAATAAAAGAATTTAAGCAAAAAAAAAAAGAAACTGGTGAAAAAGTTAACAAAAATTAATGCATATAATTTTAATGAAATACATAAAATCTACCTAAATGTTCAAAAAAAAGAAGTGTCATGATCAATTTCACTCAGGAAACAGAAATCTGGATTTATTACAAATTAAGTGACTGTATACGTAGTGCTATAGCAGTCAGAGTCAAATAACTTCAGGTTTTATTTCTGATTCTTTCCCTAACTGGCCTTACAATCCTGGGATATTTAACCTTGTAAAATTTTAGTTTTGTCTTTTGTAAGAATGTGATAATATATACCTCAGAATTTTTTTGAGAATAAAATTAATACAAATAAAGTGAGATCAGCACAGTGCCACATAGTAAATTCCTTTTTTTTTTTTTTTTTTTTGGTACCGGGGATCAAACTCAGGTCCTTGTGCTTGCACGGCAAGCGGCGGAACCACTGAGCTAAATCCCCGGCCCAATAAATTCTTGAATAAATGTTAACATCATGTGTGAAACCCCAGTAGTGGGTAGAAGATATGTGCTTCAAGAGAGCTTACTTAAAGAATACCTAAATGCATATTTAAACACATAAACTTATAAAATAGCACAGGAGTAAAGTACTTTGGAAGTTGAGGAGGGAGAAAGTGCATAGAGATGAAGTTTAAAAGGAATGATTTGGTTGTTTTGGGACAGGTCTCACTATTAGTTCAGGCCAGTCTTGAACTCACTATGTGGCCTGGGAAGGTCTCCTGCCTCAGCCTCCGGAGTGCTGAGATCACACATGTGTGCCACCAGGCCTGGCTGAAATGGGTTTTAAAAGTGGAGTGTGAAGCTGGGCGTAGTGATGTGTGGCTGTAATTCCAGCACTTGAGAGGCTGAGGCAGGAGGATTGCTGCAAGTTTGAGGACAGCCTGGGCTACACAGGGAGACCCTGTCTCAGAAAACAGCAGAGCGGGGGATATAAGTTCACTGGAAAGAGACTACAAGACAGGAATGTCGGTCTGAGAAGGACATCCCATGAAGGGCACTGCATGACAGACATTTGCAAGTGGGGCTTAGGATGGGTCCAAGGGAACAATTCGGTTGGCTGGTACTGTAGCCTGGAGTGGGATTTGGTGGTGCCGAGTCTGGTCTGAACTCGGGGTGATGGACAGAGGTTGGGGTGCTCGGGAAAGGCACTGAGGGGTGCTAGATTCTGTGTGGCTTGCCACAGAATTATAAAATGCCACGGAATTGTCCTCTAAGTGGCCTTGTGGTGGGATTGCGACTCACCTCTTTGAAGAAGGTCGGCCTGCTGGTCAGGGTCACCAGTTCTCGCCCCATGCCGGCTCTGCATTTCCATCAGGGACTGCCTGCTGGGATCAAAGCGACACTATAGCTGATGTTCTGCAACCCCAGACAGGGCAGCCTTAAGCTGACAATCAATGGAAGTACAAGATAAAAGAGCCGCACTACAATGCTGAGGTCCAAAAATCCAGAACTGGAGACTAATCTGATTTTTAAATACTATTGACGCTAGAATGCCAGGTAGTAAAAGTAAGTAAGATTTAAAAAAATCTGCTAGGAATAACCAATCTGTTAATTAATAGGAGAATGGATCAGAAAAAAAGGGGCATATTTCTACATCAAGACTCTGTGGAGCCGGGGATTTAGCTCAGTGGTTTCCCCGCCTGCCTCGAAAGCACAACACAAGGTCCCAAGTTTGATCCCCGTACCCCAAAAAAAAAAAAAAAAAAAGACTCTACGGAGCAATTAAATAAAAGAATTAAATCTGCATGTATGAAAATTGAGTACAAAATCACAATGATATATAAATCAAGTTGTAGAGCAATACCTACATTTTGTTTTTTGGAGCGTTTTTTTTTCGTACTGGGGATTGAACTGGGGATCCTGCAATTTCGAGGCAGGCGGCAGCACCACTGAGCTAAATCCCCGGCAATACCTGCATTTTGTTACAAATCAGTATTTTCTTGTTTTAAGATACTATATAGTGACAGACACAATGTAGAAGGCGGGCTACCCACCACCTTTCTGGTTATATAAGTCAAGGGGCAGCTGTCATTTCAGAATTTTCAAAGGTCAGAACTAATTTTAGAAGCATTTTCTTTTAAGACACATCAGAGAATTTAAGGTGCTGAGGAACATTACATTCATGACAGTGGCAAGGTAGGACCCTGACACACAAGGCATGCTTTTACAGCTTATCTCAAAGCGAGGAACACGTCTGTCCAGCTTTGTTGTGAGCCAGACTCTGTAGGAACAGGACCGAGTGACGTGCAGACACAGCAGCTTGCTCAGCTTGGATCAGGAGATCTGTTCGGCAGGTCACCTCTTCCACAGCCCCAGCTGTCACATGCGCTAGTCTTCCTCATACCTTGTAATCTCACCTGCCATCATCTTCAAAAGCGTTGTTCTCTCTCAGCAAAATTGCGAGCTGCAATGCCAGTTCCTCCTTTTCTTCATGAATCTTCTCTCTTGCTGCTCTTTCAGCATGAAAATCAGAACAGTAAACCTCCATCTGTTAGAGGAAAAAAGTACAGAATTTATTACCGGAAGAATGTGGATTCTCTACCACTCACCTGTTTATGAAGTCAGAAGACAGCGCTGCCTCTTAAACAGGCTTCGTGGATAACACACACACACACAGACTCCTGCTGGAGCCACATGTAGTACAAAAGGTATGATCCCATTTTTAATGAAGCAAGCAAAGAACAGAAAAATAATCTATTATACATGCACCAAAATGGAATTTGAAGGAGTTTGACTTTTACTTTCTTATATATTTTTGCATTGTCTAAAATTTTTGTTTTATATTGGATGGCATTGTTTATATAATTTTTATATAGATTTATTTATACAAAAGATTGCAGAATAGAGTGAGCTGCAGCAATGTGATCCTATTTTAGTCAAAAATACAGGTGTTTGTGTAAATATGAGTACACATATAGACAAAAATGTTTTAAATGATATTCACTGTAGTGAATAATATGGTGGCCTTTAGGCATCCATTCTAATTGTACTAGATGGTGTAGTAACTATATATAGTGGTCCCTCAACTTATGACCAGCCTGACATATGAACAACTTGGGTTATGACCAGACTTTTAGTTTTAACTTACAAACAAAATCTTGAGTTATGACCCAAATTCTGGTTGCTTGTACTTCCAGATGGTCTCAGATACAGATTTAACCCTTCAAGAATTCTGGAAGGAACATTACACATCCTTTCCTGTGTGGAGTTAACTGAGAAATCCTGGGCCAATGTCTCTCTAAGGACACTGAGATCTGCCTGTGTACAGAAGAGAGATTGAAGGCTGTGTAGAGAATCCTAAGCCTTCAATTGACCAACTTGAGCTACAACCATCACTTGGGAATAAATGGAGTTCATAAGTCAAGGGTCCACTGTATTTGGTTGGGTGGAACTGACCCTATATCCAACTCCAGAGGTTGTCTCTATTCATAAGGCCAACTAAGATGATCTCAGTCTTTCTGCTACAGAGATTGATTCAGGAAGGGGGACTGACTCAATCACCACATAGCTTCCCCAGGTCTTTGTGATGACTCCTAAGCAGGCTGGTCAAATCTGGGCCAATCAAAATGAATGAATCAAAGTGAGGACTCTCACTCCAAGGTTGTTGATGTTTATATAATTTAAAGAAAATTTAAAGGTTGTGAATACAGCTCCATGGTAAAGCACCTCCTCCCTACCATGTATGAGGCACAGGCTGAATCTTACCTGAGCCCTAAGCACTGCCATGGTGTCCAGGTCCTCTTCCTGCTTGGCAATGATCTGCTTCATCTCATCCATCTGAAGCTGCTTGGAGGCCAGGGCCCTCTCTGCCAGCTCTAGTTTTTCATTTAGTTCCCACAGCACTGCCTTGTCCACCTTTTCTGACTGAAAGACAGTTTCATTCTAGGCATGTTGACAGGTCCAGGGTCCCTGCAGTTCCTCACAGCAGACGGCCCATCCAGCCCCAGCAGCTGTCTCACTTCACTGTGTCCTGTTCACACACAAACCCAGGCCCTCGGCTCCCCTGCGAAGCTTCTCTGAGAAATACTAAAGCTCACTCCCTGTGACTGTGGACGTTCACACCATCTGTGCACTCAGAGCACATTATAAGTATGTGGAACATGAGAAGTTACAAATGTTTCAACCCAAGAAATAATTATAAATTGAAAAGTAATTTTGAAACCAGATTTAGTTATAGAAAATGTTCATTGGTTTCTGTTTACCATTAGGCTGTGGAAAGAATTTTTTTTCCCCCATGAATACCTCTTTCCTTGTTAGTTCCTCAATTGTCTTCAATGCATTATTATGTTCTTGAAGAAGCTTGTTGTGTGTTAACTGCAGAATGGCTAACTTGGACCTATTAAAAAAATATTTAAAAAATGGAATCTTGGGGAAAATATCACAGAAAGTTTGAATCTAGTCTCCTTATCATCTTCTAAATGCTTTAGTAGCAAATCTTCTTTGCTTTTATTATCCCACTGTTATGGCTGTGTCTAGATGTCCCCTCAAAGCCTCCTGCAGTCATAGGTGGAGCATTTTTAGAGTGCGTGATGCTGGGATTAAGGGTGTGTGATTATTAAATCAGTCCACTGAGTGGTTTGGCACCACCCTAATCCTGGTAGTTGAGATAGAGTATAATAAAGGGCAGAAAGAAGCTGCTAAGATCACATGTTGGTTCCCTCTTTACTTGCTTTGCTGCCTTCTGCCCACCACGAACTGTTTCTCCTCTGTGATGCCCCTCTGCCATACCCCCTGACTTAGAGCCAGCCAACTATGGACTGAAACCTCTACAGACTGTGAGCCAAATAAACCTCTCCTCCTTAACTGTGGGTTTCAGGTATTTTGTTTCAGCAAGAAGAAAAGCAACTAAGTCACTGACCAACTGCTAGCATTTTAGAAAATATTTTCTGAAAAACAAGTTAGAATGCAAGTCATTTTCATAATTTTATGATGATAAAATATTAGATCTTATTTCTCCAAAGAGTTTCCTAGGACTCTTTCAAATGAATAAAAACATTTTATGAATTTATTCTCAAACCCTAACCCACCACGTATGAAGAAAGCAGTTCAGCATACTCACTTTTCTTCTTCTGTTTTCACTTGCTCCATCTTGATTTCTGACTGCATGCTCTCGACTTGGAGCTCTAACTTCTTATTATTATACACCAGCTCTTGCTTTTCAGTCAACTCTGATGGAGTTGCAGAATTTTTCCTTTCAAGGGCCTGGCACCTAAGAAAGTTGAAGATTTTATGAGGATAAACAATATTCTACTTCTCAATGTGGCCTTTTAACAAGTCCCAAGATTGTGTAAAACACAATTAAATGCAGGGCTGTAGGACTTATGAATGCAAAATAAAATATTTGTTTCTTTTTGCTTCTCTGCTAGACATGGCCATATTTCTGAACCCTTATGCCTAAGCATAAAAAGCACAGATCTAAGTATGATATGAGGTAGTTTTATCTTTGAATAATTGTCTTAAATAGTCATACGCTTATATTTTTTGTTATTTAAACCCAGACCAAGGTAGTAATTGGCTAAAGGTGATTCTCATATATTGATCCATGGGAACCTTTTATATTTTTGGAAGTTTGATCGATCAATCACAAAGACCTGGATTTATGACAAGGATTCAATAGGGAAAAAGGAACCCCTCCCCCTCCTTAAAGATCAGAAAGAGAATTTCTGTATAATAATAGCAAAAACAAATAAGTCATAGCTATGTACAAGGCATTAATGCCAAGCACATCAAATATTTCATTTAATATAATGATATTGTCCTGGGTTATCATAATACTGTAGTGTTGGTAAGCGAAAGCCCCAAGAAAACACCTATACACTGCGCTGGACCTGTGTTTGCCAACTAATCCAGTAGAATGACATTATCTCAGCTTTACCAAGATTCAGGTAACTTCTTACATCAAAAGAAACAAGCCAATGCAAAATTCTCAATGTATATATTAGCTTTAATAATTGATTAAAATTCTCGATTCCAATCTATTTTTTTTTTCTAAAGCTTCACTCAACTTCTTTGTGCTCTATTCCTTTTCTTGTTCACATGAATGGTGTCAGCTTAAGTCAGACAGAAAATCTGGCTGCAGCTGTGGCCAGGAGTCACATAGGATAGTACACTAACAGCAGAATCAAAGTCCCCTGGTCCCCACTCCCAAACATTTTAACATGTACTTCATTCTTTTTGTTGTTGTTGTTGTTTGTTGTTGTTTTCAGTACTGGGGAATGAACCCCGGCCCTTCATACTGATTTACATCCTCAGCCCTTTTAATTTTTTGAGATAAGATCTCACTAAATTCTCCAGGTAGGATTTGAACTTATGATCCTCCTGCCTCCCCAGAGTGCTGGGATTATGTGTGCTAAACCACACCAGACTAAGAATTTGATTCTTAGACATTAACCTGTACATTAGTGTTTTTTATTCATATCTTAGGTCTCTATTTTTCTTTTAGTAACAAAACTACATACTTTGTAAAAATGTGTGTTTTTCAAAGAAGGATAAAACTGATTTCTCTTACTTTTCTTGAAGTCTCTTCTTCATTAGCTCAGCTTCACTGAGTTTTGTATGAGCCTCCTGAAGCTCCTTAAATAGGGACGTCACCTGAAGGTTCAATGTTTCCACTTCACTTCCAATCTGCGGAATGCCAAACATTCCCATGTGATTGCCATCAGAGATTAAATGAACCTCTGTGACAAAGTCTGAATCACTGCTATCCAATCAAGACTGATCGTGAACAGATTCACTTCTTTCTTTCTTTTTTTTTGGTACTGGGGATTGATCTTGGGACCTTGGGCTTTCGAGGCAGGCAGTGGCACCACTGAGCTAAATCCCCAGCCTTCAGATTCACTTCAGATAATTACTACTCCAGATATAGTTTTGGATGCAACTCTGTTTCCTAATAGAGCACAAACTAATTGGCCTGGATACTCCTGTAGTAATGATTTTATCACTACTAAAATTAACCCTACTCATGGCTAAGTGATTCCAGATCACAGAGGTGCCAGCTTCACTCATTTAGGTTTCCAGTTTACATAGTTTCTGTTAGCCTTTTTCCTGGCAGCTCTGTATTTCCTGTGAATGAGTTTTACATCTTAGAAATCTCAATGCTTCTCTGTTGGTGGCTGAATGAGTTTTAGTCAACAAGGTACTACTATGCACTGGGGATCTTTTCATCTGTTTTCTAAATGTTCTGCATTCTCATGCAGTTCCCTGCTTGAAAGAGTCAGCATTCAATATACACAGTTGGCATTCAATATAAGTGGTTGAATAAATGAATTAACCAATATAGTTTTTTATATAAATGCCTCTCACTTGAGCTACTATGGCTATTTTAACTTCATGTTTTCATTAACTTTCCCTAAGCTCAAGACTCTGCAGGCCTAAGGGCATAGCTCCAAGTTACCATGCAACACCAAATATATACGTGAACCACTGTTACTGAAATGACTGTCCCTATCAGTAATAGCATAAAACCAAGATCTTTCCATTCTATTAGTTTCTGAGTCATTCATCAAATGACCTCATTATAAAGTAGATGAAGGTCCTTTTTCATTTAGTGGGCTAGTTCACGTAAGCATTTAGTAAATGAAATATAGGACTTGTTCCATAGAATATCACACAAATACATGTCACTATAATTGACACTGAATAAAAGTCAAAACACGACAAAGAAATTGGAGGTGAGGCAAATCCCGCCATGGTAACTCTTATGTGTCCCGGGTGTGTCCAGCAGCCTTGGAATTGTGGTACCCACGGTCTCTGTGTCTTTCTCTTCTTCATTCTCTTTTTCTGTGTTCACCTCTGTCTGGGTCTCAATCTCAGAGTGATCATTTGCTTTCTTTTCAAACTCTGAAATTCTGAAAAAAATACAGAAGTGTAGAAAAGTTACTTTCTCTTTGACATTAAGAAGAGTAGCAATTGCAGACACACTCAGAAGAACACTTTCAAAATCTGGATAAAATACTGGGTTTTCAGAACCTCTTTACATTCTCTATATTAGCGCTGGTTTTGTTTTTCATTCTAAGACTGGCTAGAACTGATGTGATTTAACACTCAGAGGTGAAAGACAGGAATAACTTGTCTTCACCACGATCTGTTTCCTGTGAGTGTACAATCAAGAAGTATTTTTAAAAATTTGTTCATATGTGTGTACACATGTGGATATATGTATTTGTTCCGGGAGTGCCTCTGTGTCCTATTTATAAGAATTTAACCCAGGCGTGGTGGCACACGCCTGTAATCCCAACTACTTGAGAGGCCAAGGGAGGAAGGATTACAAATTCAGGCCAGCCTGGGCAACTTAGTGAGATCCCGTCTCCAAACAAAATAAAAGAATATAAAATAAAATGAAGGGCTATAGATGTAGCTCACTGGAAGAAAGCCTGCCTAATATGCATCAAACCCTGGGTTCAATCCTCATTACTGGGAAGAAGAAAGAAGAAAGAAGAGGAGGAAGGGAAGAAGAAGAAGGAGAAGGAGGAAAAGGAGAAAACAGGAAAGGAAAGAAAGCAGGAAAGGAAAGACATTTCTTTTTAGGACCCCTTTAAAGTCTCAAACAAACAAATGTACCACCATTCTTACACTGAATCATAATCATAGGACAAATGAAACTAATAGAGATTATTGTTGAAGATGGTAGGATTGAGTATATACAATTTTTTTTCCCACTTCAAACCTCATGACTTTTAAAAGCCCTGTGCCTACTGGAACAAATAGAAAAGGAGAGGAAAGAACAGTAAAAAAAAAATGTGGAAAACCCAAAAGTGAGTGGGAACAGGGTTAGCATTCAAAAAGGCTGGACACTAAGCCAACATTAGGAAACTCCAAAAGGCCCATTCACTGGGGACACTGGAAGTGGTGATAAGGACAGGGCCTGTTGAAGGAGGGCTGGAAGATGATGAGATAAAGGAGTTCCTGAGATAAAGGAGTTCCGGACTCAGATGTGTTAAGCAGAGTGGAGGGACTGGGTTTCCCACTTACAAAAGAGAGGAGTTCACATAAGGATAAGTGAGGTGCTCCACCTCTTTCTGCTCATCTCAAGAACTCTGACATCAAGAAAAATGTTCTGCAGGCAGGAGCCTGAAAGAATCTTCCCTGAAGAATTTAACCAGGACAAGGGAAAAGACTGCAAGTTTCAGGCATGGGCTTCCCCAAAGACACCTCTCAGCTGGGCATCCCTACAGACACAAAGCTTGGAGTAGCTTCTAACTCGCTCCTCCCTCTTACGTCAGCCTTACATCTGATCAAAGAGCCAATATCACACACATCTGAGGAAAACCTTAAAATAAATGGATACTTTTCTACTGAAAATAGAGTATGATGGTATGAGGGGCTATCACTATACCCCTTGAGACATGAGGAAACATACAGCAACCATTTAAAAAGAAACATTAAAAGCACCAAAGAGAAGAAAAAGAAAAGGAAGGAAGTTAGCTGATAAAATCTAGTAGAATGGAGATAAAGAAAAGTGTTGAAGGCATAGCTCAGTGGTAAAGCACTTGTCTAGCATGCATGAGGCCCTGGGTTTGATCCCCAGCTGCAAAAAGAAACAAACAAAAAAGATTTAAAAAGCAAAGAAAAAAGAGATGGCAAAGAACAACAAAATTACAGAAGACACAAATGCATGGAAAGATATCCCATGTTCATGGGTCAAGATACTAAGATAGTGATACTCCTCAAACTGATCTACAGATTCAGTGTAAACCCTCATAACATCCTAGCTTTCCCTCCCCTGAAATCATCAAGGTGATCCTAAATTCAGATGGAACAGCAAGGCGCCCAGGACAGCCAAAAGTTTTGAAAAAGAACAAAGTTGAAGGATCCACATTTCCTGATTCCAAGAGGTACTGGAAAGCTTTAGCAATGAAAACAGGTGGTACTGGCATAAGGACATACATTACATTAGATCAACAGAACACAATCAGGAGTCTACTGAAGTTGATCATTATCACTCTGTACACATGTGCGTGTACACACACACACACACACACTCAATGAACTCCAAATGGACCACAGGCTGAAATATAAGAACTAAAAGTATAAGAAAAAGTAAAGGGGAAATGTAAAAGTGAATTGTTGTGACACCTGAGCAATGGTTTCTAAGACACCCCAAGTCCTGATGACAAAGAGACAGGTTGGATTACATCAATACAAAAAAATGTTGTTCTGCAAATACCATTAAGAAAGTGAAAAGAGAGGGATGTACCTTAATGGTAGATCACTTGCCTACCATGTGTGAGGCCCTGGGTTCATCCCCAGCACCGCAAAAAAAAGCAAAGACAACCCATAGAATGGAACAAAATATTTGCAAATCATATAGTCAACAAATATATAATATATTATAATACATATTATATATAATAATAGACAACTCAGTGTTTAAAAATGAACAGAGAATTTGGAGATTTTTCCAAAGGAGACTCAACATGAAAAGATAGATATTCAACACTATTAGTTGTTAGGGAAACACAACTCAAAACTACAGTGATATAACAATTCACGCCCACTTGGATGGCTAAAATAAAAAGAAAAGACAATAATAAGTGTTGGTATGGACATAGAGAAAATGGAATACTCACTTTGCTGGGAGGGATGCAAAATGGTGCAGCTGCTTTGGGAAATGATTTTGCAGTTCCTCAGATATGGTATACACATACCACAGAGTTATCATGGACCCAGCAACTCCACTCCCAGAGAATTAAAAACATGCCCAAACACTTGTAAACAAGGCTTCGTAGATACATTATTCATAATCAGAAAAAAGTAGAAACAACCCAAATGTTCAACAGATGAATGGAAAGACAAAATGTTGTTTATCCACACAAGGCAATGTAATTCAGCAGCAATAAGGAGTTAATTACTAACACATGGTAGTTGTAGTTCGTAGATGAACCTCAAAATCACTATATTAAGTGAAAGAAGCCAGTCACAGAACACCACATATTGTATGATTCCATTTATGTAACTGTCCAGAGTGAGCAAATCTATAGAGATAGAAAGTAGATTACTGGGAGGAGTAGGTACAGTATTGAATGCTAATGGGCACTGTATTTCTTATATAGGGAAAAATGTTCTAAAATTATATTGTGGCAATGGCTGCACAACCCTATGGCTATTCTGGAAACACTGAAATGTATACTTTAAATGGTTGAACGATGTGTTATCTTTATATTTCAATACAGCTGTTTGTTGTATGCATGTTTGTTGTTAATGTGTTCCGTACCTTTCTTTGGCTTCTTTGAGCACAATTTTAAGTCTCTCCACTTTCTGGTTTTCTTCCCTCAGGCAAAGCAGGAGCTGGCTCACAGTTAATTCCAATTCAAATTCCAAATACTTTCTGGTGCCTTCCACAGATTTTCTCCTACATTAAGATACCACCACCACTATATTCAGTATATAGGTTAAAAGGTTTTCATCAGAAAATGAGAATGTCAAGGTCTAAGAATAGAGTAGCCCAGCATAACTGAGACCAACTCAAAGAAATGATTTCCACAACATTCTCCAATTAATTCTCATCTACTGACCAACCACAGCTGCCCCCGTGATCCTCAGGGCTGAGCTCTGCCCTGCTTCCTGGGGAAGGTGTGGGCTGCCTCACTATGCAAGTACTGCCTTCTCTAAGTGGTGACTGTGTACACAACAGGAGGCCACAAAACCCACAGAAAGAGTTCAGCAGCCCTGGCTGGAGGTGTCAGGCTATCCAGACTGTAGTCTCAAAGAAGTCTGCAGCCAAACCAACTCTACAGGCATAGCAGTCTGGTGGCCTTTCTTCAACCTGACTGAAGCCATCACACTTGCAAGTCAAGAGAAGAAAACTTTTCTGGGTTTTTTGTTTCAAATAATCAAAGCAGGGAAATGCAGGTACTGTTGTGAAGTATTTTTTGCCATTTCAAAATGTGATTGAAGCTGGGTGTGGTGGGACATGCCTATAACCCCAGCAGTCTGGAAGTTTAAACCAGGAGGATTGCAAGTTCAAGACCAGCTTGGGCCATTTAGAGAGACCCTGTGGTGATATAATTCAGTGCAAAGGCCCTAGGTTCAATCCTCAGTACCACCAAAAAAAAAAAAAAAAAGGTGATTGAATCAAGAAAAAACTTAATGACAGAAAAAATCATGGCCTTAAAACATCCAGTGTGAAAATGATAATGCTAACAGTAGCTACTACTTCAGACATCTACTCAAGCTCACGTATCTAATAAATAGCCAGGATGGAATCCCTGTTACCAGGACTCCAAAGTCTGAACTCCAAACTAGGAATCAATCTCGGATTCACAGGATACTCATAAATGGTACAGAGCTGTTATTGTGTTTTTTTTTTAAATTGCAATGTGGCCTAAAAGAGGAAGTGGTCTTTGCCTATGGATATAAATGAGGAGGAAGTGGCTTGAAAATTTCAAACAGTTTTCTTCCCTCTACTTCCAGGAAAGAGTTTTGATATTCAAAACAGCAATTTGGGAAAAAGTTGACAAATTTCTAACTAAAAAAGGGAAAGATGTTCACTTATGCCAGTGTTTCTGTTTGGATGAAACAATGTTATCTCATATTTACTCCCCACCACCACCACCAAGGAAAGATAGCTGGAAAAAAATTGTTTTTACCTTTTATAAGTCATTCTCATGCACATTCATCAGGTTATAGAAGTAAAAAACATTTCATCACATGGGAAACTGAGACATAAGGATTTCGAGTTTGAGGCTGGTCTGGACTACACAGAGAGACCCTGACCTGGACAGCTTAGTAGGACCCTGTCTCAAAATAAATAAAAAGGTCTGAGATGTAGCTCAGTGGTACAGCACCCCTGGGCTTGACCCCCAGTAATGCCAAAAAAAAAGTTTTGGGAAGAGATACAGAGAAATTTCCAGATAACTGGCTCACAAATGGACTTATGGTGTACATCCCACACACAAAGCATGAGCTCCGCCCACCAGGCATCCAGCGGTTCAGGCACCCAGTTCTCCCGCCTCCCCCCGCCCCCCTCCAGGGCCTGTCATTATTTAAAAGCTCTACTTCCTAGTATCCATGTGGGTGCAGCGTTAAATACCATCCAGCATTCTTAAAAGGTCCTGGTATAAGTCAGGCCCTCCTCCAGCCCGTAATGTTTGACCTCCATGACAGGCTCGAGTGACAAGACTTCCCATCTGCCTGCCTGATAGCCCCAGTCTCTCAGCACATACGCGTCAGGGGAGTCCGTTCTTGGGAGGGTAGGACAGCTGTTCTTGATTTCTTTCATTGCCCCTTCAGCTTCTTCCTGTAAGAGCAGAAATGAAAAGAGTTTAATGAAATGTGTCTGTAAGACAAATTCTTTGTTGAAAGAAGAGACAAAAGATCAGAATATTGATGCCATGCAACCCAAGGAAACGACTCAACATTTAAAAGTGCAGTGATTCAATTGGGTCACTCAAATGGAATGGAAATGGAAATTTCCTCTTTCCTCAGCCCCGGTGCTGGATTATAAATATCTAGTCTCAGGTGTGAAGGTCGTCTCCTCTCACCGAACAGTCAAACTGACTCCATACACATGAAAGCTCATCTCCTCTGCTCTTGCCTGGGCACTTCCTCTTTCCCTGGGTTAAGGTCACACAGACTAGTGACAGCTCCACCTACCTTTCTTGTACAGTCCTTTAAAATGCAAAATGCCAGAATTTACTCAAGCAAAGTTTAAAAAGAGGCAGTTTCCCATGGATGATGCTTAAAAAGCAACATTTAGGACTGCGGATTTAGCTCAGTGGTTCCACCGCCTGCCTCATAAGTGAAAAGACCAGAGTTCCATCCCCAGTACCAAAAAACCCCCAAAAAACAAAAAAACAAAAAAGCAACATTTTTGCCAAGCTAGCTCCCATTAAAACTTTGCACACCCCACAGCCATTTAGGGAACCAGAAGGCTAAGACAAATCCTTAGCAGATTTGCAAGGCAGTAATAGTTCAATAAGGTAATGCAGAAAAGTTTCCAAATACACAAAGATGGTCCTAGATATACTGGATACACTCTTCCTAAATCTTGGGCAGTGTTTTCTTGTTCACAGAAGCAAAGCCAGCAAAACATGTTTAACAATAACCGTCACTCATCCGTGAAGCAGAAAACGATGGTAACCATCACAGAAGAAACCTCATTTGGAAACTTCTGATAAGTTCTTTGGACTCTTGAGTTTTATCAGTTATTTGCAGATGTCAAAGTTTGTTGATCAGAATTCTGTCTCAGTAGTCTTTGGTCACAGACACAAAGACACTCTGGCAAAATATGCTTTTCAATGTGATTCAGCCACTATAATGCACCTACAGTGCACAGGGGCATGGGTGGACAGTTGGTAAGAGCCATTTTCCAACTGTATTACATTGTTTTGTGCAGCAGGTGAATAAGAAAGTTCCAAACTAATATTTCAGACAGACCTAGTAGTTTAGATTTTTTGCAGGTTGGTCACCACTCCTCCTGACTTGTCTGTATTTTCATTTCTCTCTTTCATGGGCACAGTTAGTCTCTTTTCCTATATCAGATGTATACTCTAATAGAGTGACTAAAAGACAAATTCTGTCTTGTGGCATTGACTGCCTGTATCACAGAGGACTTTATCATTGTGTGTTTTTCTACCTCTCTGCCCAGTCTTTTTCAGCAGCATCGAAGGAGAGCTCGCTACATGGTTTATGTACCTGCTTTGCTCTTTAATCTTTGTGTACACTCAGTTACAGCACAACGGCCACTTTACAGGAGCTGAAGATCAGCACACACCAACAACACTCAGCCCACTTCACTTGGCTGCATAGGAATCTGAGTTTGGCAGCACTGGCTGCAGACTCAGTTCTCAGAGGTTCCTGAGTGACTGCTGTTGGGAGGAAAAAGACCATACACCTCTTCAACCCATCCATGAGCTTTGCTTCCTTTTTCCCCCTCTTCTCATTTTTAGTTACCACAGTACTTGAAAAGAGGGTTCCACAATGAAAAAGGACCTAAAAACCTATTCATTTACAACATCTGATCACAATGCTGCATACCTAAGTGAACTGCTCAACACAGCTTTCAGACCTAGCCTAAAAACTGTCAGAAAATTCATGCTTACAGGTTTTGGTTTGGGCATTTTTTTTTAGGTCAGTCACAAAAATATGTGCTTTATCAAAACAAATTAAAAACAAATAAGATTATGCCTTTCATCATAAAAGGTAATTTCTGTTTTTTCATTTCAACTAGAACAACCCTCACAAATACTATCTTATATTTAAAAACCAGGAGCAATTTATTTTTGCTACAGTAAAATTCCCCCCTGCTATGTGGCTTCCCTGACCTCCTAAGAAACAGTGGTGTCTGGTTCATCTGTCCATCTGTCTAGTGAGGCTTTGTGCTTTGCTTAAAACAAAAACAGAACCGGAGCTCTTACGGCCATCCGAATTTCTACAAAGGAGTCGTCGCAGGAGCCACTGGCGTTGAGCTTGAGCTGCAGCTCGGAGACAATGCCCAGCAGGTCCGCCTTTTCGTTCTGGAGCCGAGCCACCTTTGCTTTCAGCTGCTCTACCGCCTGCTCTGCTTCCACCCTGGGAGGCCACGTGGCACCAGCCAGGTCCTGGGGGTGCCGAGGAGTAAAGCAAACAGACCAGAGTAAGGGCCAGGGCATCCAGCTGCATCCCCACGCTCACAGACAAGCGGCTTCACACTGGCTGGCTCTTACTTGCAGTCATCTTGACATACTACCTCATGTAATGTAGAAATCCTTCATTATTTTGTTGTATTCAAATAACAGAAGTTATGCACATGAAGAGGTCCAAGAGATAGAGAAAGGGTGAGCCGGGGAGGGGAAGGGGATAAAAAAAGAATTCAGATGTACAGAATTCACGTACACGGACCCACTCCCCACAATGAATTAATCATCATGTACTACAAACATGTACCAATAAAAAAATAATCAAAATTTAAAATAACTTTATGACCAGAATGACTTCCACAGCACACAGATATTGTGAAAATAACCAATTAGAGTTTGAAACCAGTAGACTCCTAAGTTGTAGCCCAAATTTCCAGAAAATAAAGGAGAAAAAGCTGCTACACCCGAATCTCTTGGCTCTTTCCCCCTCAAATATGCCCCTTAGCCCACCCTCCCACTCTCATGTCCACTTAGGAGCCAAAGCACCTCGGACTTCTCTTGGTTCAGTAATGGCAAAACACAGTTCTCTCGGTATGTAAGCTGGCGGGTGTAATACTCTATGTTGGCATTTTAAGGCTGCTAAAAGTAAATCTGGTGGGAAACAAAATTTAAAATCCAGAGGCGGGGGCCGGGGATTTGGCTCAGTGTTTCCGCCACCTGCCTTGCAAGCTCAAGGACCCGAGTTCAATCCCAGGTACCAAAAGATAAAAAATAAAATAAAATAAAATCCAGAGGCGGATAGCAAAGGTAAAAATAATTAAATTTTGCCCTGCATAAACACTAATGATAAGCGTTAATATTTCACGAGTCCCAAGAACACACGTGTTGTGTTCACCCTGCTGCAGTGACCGCATGTGACAAAGCTGGAGAAAGACTCTGGTCAGATGTGTTTGGTTTTCACTTGGGGTCAGGGCAAGCAGATTGTCCACACTCACTGGCTGTTGCCGCTATGGCCTCGAGCAGACCCACTAATGTTTCCGGTCTCACGTTTCACGGGTTAGAAGACGTGGTACCACCTGGCCCGTGGCCTCTTCCAGCGGTGACTTCCAAGACTCCTAGTCCCTCCCCAGGAAACCTCCACAGTTCTCACGACAGGACACCACGTTCTAGCTCCCATCCAGACCGAAAGTACGGGTGCTGAGAGCAGCAGAAAATTGCAACACACACAACCATCTGAAGAGGATAGTGCAAGACAGACCAGCTTTTAAAGAAAGCCCCCGATTACCCTTAGGAATTTACAGCTGATTAAATACAATCTATGGTCCCTCCAGGCAAAAATTTCAATCAGTGATCTTGTGCTCATAGTCAACACTGTCCATGGGGCCTTTTCTTCTCTCTTTTATTCTGCCCTCTCTGACAGATTCTCCAAGGAACATAAAACACATCCAAAGGCTCCTGGTGGAACCAAAGCAGAACCAATGTGGATGGCTACAAACCTGCTAGTCCCTAAAATGTTTTTAAGCAGAGGTACAAATATGTCCTCGTCCCTCACACTGCCAGGATAATGTTCTCCCTTCCCGTGTAGCAGTCCCTGCTGGGGAACTACTGCAGGCTTCTGTGAAATGCAACTCCTCTGAATCTAGAGTTAGGTTTTGGACAGAAGGCTACGTAACCTCTCTCGGTAATGACTCGTATAAAAGGAACACATTTAAAGAATGAAAAATGAGAGCCAGGTATGGTGTTATACATTGGTAATCCCAGCACTCAAGGCTGAGGCTCAGGCTGAGGCGGGAGGATCGCTGGGAATTCGAGGCCAACATGGACTACACAGTGAGTTCAAGGCCAGCTTGAACTACATAGCAAGACCTTGTCTCAACAAAACAAAACAGAATGAAGATGATAAAGGATAGGTATGCCTTACCCTGGAACCAGGAAGTACCTACGCAGATAAAGGCAAGACTGCATCTTATTAGGCAACTCTAGGTGTACCCTCCTGGCCTTTCTATGGACATTTTATAGAACAAACTTTCATACACCTTGATATGAAGGTAGAAGGATAAAAGGAAATATAGTTTTAAATAAAAGTCCGAGAACCAGTATCTAAGGTGGTGACACAGGCACCTCAGATTATTAGGCTAATTTTCTTTTTAACCATCCCTGGGGAATCAGGTATTCACTTATTTGGCCATAAAACACTGTTAAGATAACGTCTTAATGATTCCCTTCATTTTACTACTGAGACTCCTTCCATTGCTTTCCTAGACTAGAACTCCCATGGTCTCTTCGCCTACTCCGCATCCACTGCTTCTCTATTCGTTCTGAACACTCAGTTACCAGGCAGCACCTCTTCTCTGCCTTTCCATGTATTTGCATCACCTTCTGTCCCACTGTCCTGAGCATGTGCACGGTTAACACGCCATCTCAGGAGGAAAGTCTGCTCCTGACCTTTGTCTAGATGTAGATAAAAATGGAAAGTTAGGAAGTATTCTCTGGAGATGAATTTGATGCAGGATTTGTGAAATCAGATGGAGCTCTTTCTCCCAAGCACCCCACGTCCCTGCTGAGTCCTGCTGGGAGCTGTGTCCACGGGTCGTTTAAAGCTGTCCAGCCAGGAGTGGTGGCACACGCCTGTGGTCCCAGCACTCAGGAGGCGGAGGCAGGAGGATCACTGCAGGAGGCCAGCCTAGGCTACAAAGTGAGATCAAGGCCAGCCGGAACTGCATAGCAAGACCTCTCAAAACAAAACAAAACAAAACAAAACAAAACAAAAAAGCAGCTGTCCAGAGCTCCAGCTTCTCATCTCAGCTTCTTCCAATTCTAGAGCCTTTTAGAAAAACCTAGAGGCAGACTGTCTCAAAAAAGACAGACTGTTCTGGAAGCTTCCCTCTTGGGTTCAGTGTGGTAGGCGCCTGCAGACTGAGGCCAACTGTCAGCTCACATTCCAGAATTCAAGGAAGGGAATTAATGTGAGCTATTTTCTTCTAGAAAGTAGAAAATTACTGTATCTCAGGTGGTCATTTCTTCAGAGACTTCTACCTCAAAAATATTTAGCTAATCAGAGACTTTCCCTGCCAAAGAAGGAACTTAATGCTCTCTGAGCTGTAAGATAAATAGAAAGATCAGGTACCGTAAGTCTTATCAACAAAGAAACACAAGCAGAGTGTTCATTGCCCTATGTGTAGGAGTTAGTGAGCTCTGAGTCACTCTTCAATGCTTTAGATTATTCTACATCATCCCCTCCTTTCTGCCCATTTTTCTGTCCATTTTGTTTCTTTATTTCTATTCTTTACCACACCGAGAAAATAGAGATCAACAAAGTTCAAGATAAAGTCTTGAGAAAAATCACTGATATTGTGACATCAGTATCACAACCAATCCTCCAAAGGGTTAAGTATCAGGTAAGGCAGAAAATGGGCATCTGCTTGTGTCCACCTAAATCACCGAGACCCAGGGAGCCCTGATAGACCAGGAGGGATGCAGACACCTTCCTGCTGCTTTTCACTGACATCTCTGACGTCCACTCTTGAGTATTCCCAGGTTCTTTGGATCAACAGGAAATGTATGTATTTCTCTCTTTAACCAGAGCAACCCTACTCAGGCTCCTGTCACCACATGGCCTTTGTCAAGGGAGTGCTCAAAACGAAAACGTAAAGTGAATCATCTCTATTTTAGACTGAGAAAACAAAGTCAGTAGGCAAAAACTCTGAGTAATAGATTTTTAAAATGTAATTTCATATCAAAGCCATAAATGAAAAGTAACCATTGGATGGTTTTAGGCAGAGGTCCTTCTGCATCACCTGTAACAAAACATTGATTTATAAGCTCAGTGTTCTTTTGGTTGCAGTATGGTTAAAGCATTACAAATTTCCTGCCCTCAACAGAGATTATACTGACCTTAAATTACAACCAATCTTTCCAGCAAAAATACTTCTCAGAGCCGGTCCAGCCTGAACAGTGGAAGGAGTCCAGATAAATAAGATTCTACTGCAGATAATAAGAAATAAATCACAACTGATCAGTCTCCTTACCTCTAATGATCTTCGGGATTCCCCTCTTAGCTTTTCAAGCTCGTCCTTCAATTTTTCATTTTCATGACTCAAGGCCATCAGGCGCTCTTTGGCTTCTTTGCTCTGCATCTCGAAAAACTGGCGTTCTTCCTTCTGTCTCTCTGTCCAGGCTGAGAGCTCCTCAAATCGCCCTTTCATAGCTTGATTGTTTAGCTTCATGGCTTCTGTAAGGGATTCGGAGTGAGGGAATCACACACCAGGAGCCTGGCAGAACTTCATCGTCAGCCCTCGCCGTTGCCTGCCTCTGAATCTGAACATGACAGGCTTGGCTGGCACCACAGGATCAGCAGGAAGGAGACTACATTAAGCTGAGTGCTTTTTGCTTCCAAAGAGAACTACCAGGTCTAGCATCATTTCTAGTCCTTAAAAGACAAAGCAGCTGGGCACAGTGGTACATGCCCAACTACTAAGGAGGCTGAGGCAGGAGGATCACACATTTTAGACTAGCCTGGGCACCTAAAACAAATGATTTAGGTGCCTTCACTATAGCAGAAAATCTTACTAATAATGAGGATAGCTGAGGATGTAACAGAGCACCTGCCTAGCATGTGCAAGGCCCAGGTTTCAATCCCCAGCATGAATGAATGAACCAACTAGGGGACTGAGGAAGGTCTTATCACCCTGTGCTTAGAACACAGGTCCTACCAAAAGCCATGGCGTGAGATATCAGAATACTTTCTCTTAATAGGCAGTATTGAGGACTAACTGTAATCGTAGCAGTCTTTCTCTTAATTTCCTACCTACCTATCTACCTATTGCGGAGCTGGGGATCAGATCCTGGGCCTCATGCATGCTGGCTCTACCACCGAGCTAACCCTCCAGTCCCAAAAACCTTTTATTCTTACCTGCATTCAGAAGTAAACCCAGAAACCATTTTGGCCCTATCAAAAGCCACCCTCGGCTGCTTTTTCAGCAGAGAAAAGAGCTAACAGGGAAAGGAGCTAACCTTTGATCCCTATTACAAGAGGCTTTGTTTCAGGAAGGGCTAGGCGTGGAGAGCTGCTCACCTTTCAACTGGTGGTTCTCAGCCAGGAGCTCTTTCATCTGCTGCAGCAGCTCCTCTGGGGTGAACGTGTCCAGGTTGGGGTGAGCCAGACTGGGGGGTCCATTCCCTGTGGTCTCCCCAGGGCTGTCCCCCTTTTCAGTCAGGCAGCTGAGAGCTTGGTGGGACATGGCAGCAGTTCCTATGAAAAAGCCACAAGCTGAAAAATACCTGCCTTCCCTCTGCCATGGGTCTCTGTAAGTCCCACACATTCGTTAATAATTGCTAATACAAAAAAAAATTGCTAATACAGTATTTATCCCCAAAGTTGTTAGCTTTCTAATTGCTTTTTTTTCTTGCTGCGTCCTCAGCCCTGGGTCTCACCAAGTTGCCCAGGCTGGCCTCTAACTTGTGATCCTCCTGCCTCAGCCTCTCAAGTAGATGGGATTACAGGCATGCACCACAGCACCCAGCTACCAGTTGCATTTTGAACATTTTTGACTCCTCCTGTTAACACGTTCATGATGGGACCATAATTCATATGTTCTGCTGCCGGGCAGCTCCAACCCTGGTGGTACATGCATGACTGTCTCATCGGTGGGCTCTTACTAATCTTATCAGTAAAGACCAGTAAGAGTGATTAGACTCATTTGTGCCAGCAGTGGCACGAGCTGCCTAATGAAACAATTCATGCATGTACCGCTGGTGGCGTGACAGGCCTGGTGAGGGGTTGGGAAGTATAAGAAGAGACCCAGGGAGGCCGGAGGGAAAGGATGGAACAAGGAAAAGGACAGAATAGAAGGGAAAAATGGAAACACAGCTTTTGTTAATAAGGAGGGGAAGAGGGGCCGAAGGGGGAGAATGGAGCAAGATATATCATTTCCCTGTGATGAGTACTATCATTATGTATATCTAAAATGTACCAATAAAGGTTTTGCTTCCCCCCAAAAAGAGACTCATAAACGTGATGCAATGGCCATGATGCGAGGGAAGCATCATTACATAAATTCTCCCATGCAGGTCTTTACATTCTAAACTCTTTATTTTGAATCAGATGGTATGTGAATTATATACCAATACAGTTGTTTAAAAATTTCCCTATTTTATTGCTTATATTGTTAGATGAAAGAAAAATGAGAGTTAACCTTTTTCAGTGTTACTATGTGCTACAACAAGATACCAATCAGAGTCCTACCTCAATGCTTCATTACAACACAACTGTTTTACACGTGAGGAGAAGTTGAGTTTCCAGGGGTGTGGGGATCATTATGGGCACAACCAGGTCCCCAGGCTGATGCCGAGACCCAACAATGCAATAAAGGTAACACTGAATACCGAGCTATCCATGTTATATTTTCCACAGCACTCACCAGCAAAAGAAGCTACCTTATGTAGTTATTGCCACATTCTGAAAATATTTGTACACATGGCACTTTACTTTGTGGAGGGGTCAATATAAACATGTAAATGTAAGAAAGATGAGTGAATCTCAATTCTACTTCTTTACTACCCACTGCAGAAACAAACATAAACATCTTTCTAATCGCTGGTCACAGGCTCTAGGCCAACATTTTCATCTTCACAGTTCGAGAAAACGATGTGTCTTCCATCAGGGCTGGTGTAGAGAATTATAAGACAGTACAAAGTAACAGCGGCTCCTTCCTGCTGACACTATACACACATTCCTATTCTACGAAGCAAAAAGTGACTCACGTCCAGATGCCTGAAAAAGCGTAACATTATTACTCCCAAGATGTTTTCCCTCACAAAACTTTCCTTTTCCAGATACTGCGGATGAAACCCAGGCCTTCAGCACTGAACTTACATTCTCAGCCCCTCTTTAAAATTCGTTTTATTTTGAGATAGGATCTTGCTAAGTTGCTAAAGTGCCCAGGCTGGCCTTGAACTTGCAGTTCTCCTGCCTCAGCCTCCCAGAGTGCTCCGATTACACGTGTGCATCACCATGCCTAGCTTAATCTTCACCTTACATTAGCCATTTCCAGTAAAATTTTAGTGAAATGTAAGCAATCTAGAGAGGAATTGTAGCTGGGAGCAGTGGCACACGCCTGTAATTCCAGCTCTATGGGAGAGTGAGGCAAGAGGATTTCAGTTTAGAAAACAGTTTACAAATTTGAAACCAGGTGTGGTGATGCACTCCTGTAATCCTAGCACTGAGGAAGCTGAGGCAGGAGGGTCACTGTGAGTTTGAGGCCAGCCTGAACTACAAAGACACACCCTGTCTCAAAAAGCAAAACAAAACAAAACCCCAAACCCCCCACCACAAATTTGACTTCATCTACGGAAGATGCTACTGTACACTGTGATACAGCAGAAAGCCAGTGACACCACTGGAACCTCTGAGAGAGGAAGAAGACTGGAAGCGAGCGGTGACCCATCAGCTCCTCATGATCTCAGGATCGGGGTGCCTGGGTGACCTTGGAGTACCTGGAACACAGAGGCAGAGGACCGCCCTCTCTGACCCATACCTGCGTCCTAACCTCAGTGTACACTCTGGGCCGCTTCCCACACGAAGAGCAGGCAGAGCCTTGGGCCCTCCGAAGGTCTGCTAAACCCAGATTCTGGCACCTGCTTTTCCTTCCAGGAACTTGTCAGTTATCAGGACACTGCTGTGACCACTGGGCCAGCAGGCTCCAGGCCAACTTCTGAAGCAGTCACAGCAAAGCAGTGGCTCCTCATGGAGTTATGTGAGCCGGACAGAGGCAGGAGAGAAAACTACAGGTAAACATATTTCTCAATTACGAACTGCATGTCTCTGCGTTTTACAGAACCAAATCACTTAGCATTAGGTGATGAAAACAGACTGTTATTTTTCTCCTCATTCCAAAAATTCTGAATAAACTGCCAGCTTCTCACTTTCTATAAAATTCATTTTTTTTTGCACAGAATGATATTGGTGCTAACATTTCATAAAAATGGAGTTTTACTGAGTACTAGTGTTCTCTGTTTTGCAGAGGAATAATAAAATTCCAGGTAATAGGCATAAAAATAAAATCCTTACAATACATATTATTTACCTGGCAATCTAAAATTCCTGAGGTATTTAGGGATTACATTACCTCTGGAAAGGCCATGGAAGTATTTAACAGCCTTCTTGTGTCTCATTTTGTGGTGTCGGAGATTAAACCCAGGGCCTCACACATGGCACACTAGCGCTTTACCACTGAGCGACACCCCGGCCAACAGACTTGTCAGGGGTCTAAGCGGTATCTGGAGATGTGTTTGGTTTCCTGTATTACAGGCACACATCTCTCCTCAGTGGCTCTTCCAAGGGGAAAAAAGTGAAGGAGAAGGGCAAGGGGAAGAGGGGAGGGTAAGGAAGAAAAGCGAGAGGAGTTCCCTGAAGACAGTCTGGGTCTGTGCCTCTCCCCACCGCCTTCCTTTTTACCGTCACCAAGTCTACCGGCCAGTTGCAGTCGGCTCTACCGTGCCACTGGTGCTTCCTTCTCAGGTTGCCCACAGTTCCTCACGACGCTGGGGAAAGGCTGAGTTATGCTGGGAGGCATGCTGACACCACTAGTCAACAATGGTGTGGACTCCAGGAGCTGTCGGGAGCAATGCTACATAATTTTGGGGAAAAGTCATTTGATTAGGCCAAGTTCTCCTGCCTACAGCCCAGCTATGGCATTTGGAGACATAATTCCATTTTGGCCCCCGGTCACAACTGAGACCTCAGTGGTCCGGTGATGCTGTGATTCTCCAGGACAAGATTACACCAGCTGAAGACATCCTGGGAGGGACAAAATCTTCATCTGCTCAGTTCCTCCTTGTTCTTGGATCATTACACCTTGTTTATCCCCATGTACTGAATAATAAAAGGTGTGGTAAGCAGGGGGCTTTCGTCTTTGCCGCCCAGAGCAGCACTGGTCAGGGCCAAAGCTCAGCTTCTCCAAGTCGCATCTTTTCTACCTTTCCTGTATAATAAGTTAATTCACCTTGTGCGGCCATGGCTCTCAGGAGACTAGGACTTACTGCAGAGGTTCTAGTAACCTCTAGTCCCCTTTCCCTGTGCCCTATAAGGAGTCACCCTGACCTGTGTGATTATTAATGACTCACCAAGCAAATGAACATCCTTAGGGTTGCTATCAGCTGGGCAGTCCTGGGAAGAGCAGTTCCAGGTGGGCCACAGTCCTCCCTCAATTCAGACACACCCAGTACTTTTGCGGGCATGCTACTCTCGCAAACACATACACCTGTCTTCCTTACAGCAAACTCTATTATCCAGTAATGTTAGGGAAGAATACTTTCCAACCCAGATGCCATGAAGTTAGCATATATGGCAAACAAAAGCGTGCGAATGCTTTAAAAATTTTATTAACCCATTTAAGCCTAATGTTCCATTTTTTACAATGCCACAATGGAACATAATACAGTAAACCTTGTATTCCAAGTAGCCTGTTCTGCGAGTGTTCCACACGACAAGCAGACATTTCTAATAAAGTTTAGCTTGGTAAACAAGCGATGCCTTGCAATAGTAGTACGTGACGGTAACAGTAAATGTCACGTGACCACACCTGAGCCAATGGTTCCCCCCCTCTGTCTGTCTCTGTCTCTCTCCCTCACTCTGGGTGATCCAACTTTCAACACCAAAAGGTTATGGAGGCGTTCTCACCCGCAGAGGAGGAGAAAAGGTGGAGGAATCCTTCACTTCAAATTAGTTTACGGAGATGTGTAAAATTTGGGAAACTAAAATTCTGTACAAAAGCACCACTTGAATAAGCCTGTAGCAGTGCGAGCGATGGATCTGTTTAACAACAATGCTGTGTCATGTCGGCAAAATCCTCAAAAGGAGCCAAAAGTGTCACTGGATAGGTTCCTTGTTAAAGTTGAAAAAGAAAAGGACTCCATGGAGTTGCTAGATAACAGTGATTCTGTTAGTTGAGTGAACGTGGTCCTGCACAATAAGCCTCCTCTCTCACCTTCCTCTCAACACTCATGGTTTTCAAAGGTTAATTTATTTTTCTTTATATTTCGTATTATATTACAGTACTGTATCATTTTTATATGAATATCTTTGGGTTGTGGAACAAATTGAGATAGATTAGGGCGTGACAAAACTGGCTGGGGTAGGTGTGGCCTGTTAATTACAAAATCTCTCAGACACAAGGGCAGAGCCGTTCCCAATGCCCTGCACGAGGACTTCTCGCGAGAACTCGAGCAGCTTTTTATTATCAATAGGATGGCCTGGACCTGACCTCAGCCAGGGGAGTGGGACCCCAGCACCGCCTCTCAGGGCCCGGATGTGGACTTTCTCCTGGGTTTTCCCAAGATTTGGACAGTAAAGGACGCAGGCACCAAGGAGAGCTTGCTGTGCTGGCTTTCTTCATGGCAGCCCTCCCTGTTTTCTCCAGGGTGTCCTTATACTGCTTTTTCTCCTTTTACTCGCCCCAAACACGCTCTGCACAGCCAGTTTTTCCCTCTCTTCACTTTTACTTTCTCGAATAAATTTGCTTTTTGCTCCTTTTGTTGAATTCTTTGTTTGAAATGAGAAGTACCTGTAACCTTAACTCCAGAGGGAGAGGTGAGCAACCCAGAACCTGGTAATGTTTAGTGAGCCACTTTTAGAAGGAGCTACCCGATAATAAAATCATCCGAGTTTCCATCATTTCTGATGGGGAAATTTGCTTTGACATACAAGTGCTTTGGATTATAAGCATGTTTCCATATACTCTGGTTTCTCTTCAGGTCTTATAAATCTTTCACCTTTTGCAAGCATGCTTCCAGAAGGAATTATGCTCACAAACGAAGGTTTTACTATGAAAGTTTTTCTCTTCAAATTCTTGTTCCTCAAATTTTTCTAGGTAACATATACGAATTTCATGCAAAAATTTAAAAACTGCAACCTGTGCCATAAATCGGTTAAAAGAAATTTTGTATGATTCAGTATTTTGAGACATTACGAGGTACCACATTACAATTCACACATGTGCAATATCCATTAGTAGAATGCCAGCTAGAGAAAGCTTAATTCGCTATTAAAGTTTTAACATCATCCTGAGCTACTTTTAATTGTTGTGCAATATACCACTTTGAATTTATCTTCGAACGTTAGAGGAGTTGGAACAAAGCCATTATTCCAAGGGTCTATCTGATAATGTATAAAACTTTAGTTAGCTTATGTGTAATGCAGCTAGCTGGGGAAGGGCCTGAGAGACTTGAGCGACCAGCCAGGTTGAAAAGAATTAAAATAAGAATAGATAGTGAAGTAGAACTTTGGACAAAGAACTTCCTCAGGCAAATGAGGTGCAGTCCACTCCCTACTAAGCTGCTGAATTTTGAGGAATTTAAATGCAATGAACTTCCTCAAGCAGCCTGTTCCCTACTACTAAAGTGAGGTACAGCCACTCCCACTAAACTCCTGAGCTCTGAGAAAATTAAAATGCAAAATAACAAGTTTTTTTCTCTTAAAATCCCAGTTTCCTACCCACCTGGTGAGGAAGTGCACGCCTGTAATCCCAGCACTCAGGAGGCTGAGACAGGAGGATCACCATGAGTTCAAGAACAGCCTGGACTGGGGATTTAGCTCAGTGGTTCCACTGCCTCACAAGCGGAAGGACGCAAGTTTGATCCCCAGTACCAAAAAAAAAAAAAAAAAAAAAAGAACAGCCTGAACCACACAGCAAGACCCTGTCTCAAAAAACAACAACAAAAAAAACACACAAAAAATTCCAGTTCCCTTTAAACCCTACATGCTGAAGAACTGCACTAGAAGCCTGAGTTCCAGTTGGTCATTTAAATCCACAGAATTACCTGTGACAGGTGGCCACTGAACAATTGAGCAGTTTCTGTGCTCTGCTTATCTGTAAGTAGCTCAGGGAGGCGGGACCAAATTGGCCCTTCCTGAAAATCCAGGAGATACTCTTCTTATTTCCAATAAAACTCTGACCTTCTCCTCCAGTCCCCAACTTCATTCCTAGATGTTATCACCCCATGAATTTGATACATTTGACATCTAACAGGTTGGGAGTTATTTTTCCCTATAACAATAACAGATTTTCTTGTAATAATCCAACTGATCTAGACCCAAAGCGTGTCATTTCTAAGTAAAGGTAATATTAAACAGCATTAACTGAGGACAGAATTTATCAGGATTTCACCAATGAGGAAGACTGAGAACTACTACCTGATAGGTGAAGGTTAAAAGGTAGAACCTTCTAGGTTTTATTCCCAGATCTACTACCTGAATTCCTAACAGTATATAAGGCTGATCTTGAACTCACTATGTAACCCAGGCTGGCCTGGAATTTGAGGCGATCCTCCTGCCTCAGCCTCCTGAGTGCCAGGATTACAGGCAAGTGCCACCATGCCTGGCTATATATTCTTATTCTTAACTCTAGAGACCAAGTAATTATAGCAGTGACTTGACCTTGGACACAGGCATAAATCTCATTCTGTAGTTGGCCTTAGAGATAATCTACAGTAGACCAACTTCTTACTCAATGCAAGGAGGTCTTGTCTGGCTTCCATGGTGCCCAGTCACATAGTCCCTAACCTGGAAAAGAATTTATATCCTACTAATGGGGTAGAAGAAGACTCACCATTATATACTAGAAATGCTACTTCGATTTTTATATCTCACTAATATACAGAAAATAGGAAGAGATTTAACACAGTCCCAAGGTAGGAACCTAGGAGTAAAGCTTGATTCTTCCATTCTCTCTCCTGCAGTCTAATGGTTTATCCAATGCCAGTCACTTCCACCTCCAAAATGTTTCCCAAACCCACCACCTCCTCTCCATCACTGCAGGACGCACAGCTCAGGCTCTTATTTTGTCTGGACTTTGGCAATGGTGATTGCCACACAAAACAGGGTTTTTGCCTATCTGGCCTACTGCTGTATCCCCAGCATCAAGAAAATTACTTGACACATATAAAGAAAGTTCAGCAGAGATTGTTAAGTGACTTGCAATGGCTTCTAAATGGTCTTTCATCCCTTTCCATCTCAGGACCATTTCAAATCCTCACAATTTCTTTTGTAACGTGATGTTATTCTTCAGAGTGCAACCATTCTCTTTGAGTCAGAGCTTTAGCAAGACAAATGTGGCCTTCCAGGGTCTGTGGCCAACTCGTCTACCTACCAGTGCCTTCTCCTCTCACAAACTGCTTGCACAAAAGGCACATGAAAGGGCGCACAATTCTCTGCACTCTTGGCCTCTGCGCCCTTGTGTTTCCTTTGTGCTGTCCCCAAAATGTCCAGCTCCCATCCTGACCTGGCAGGCTTCCTCTAGACAGTTCAATGTCCAGTTCAAATACAGCACCCTGTGTAAAGTGAGTTCTACTTCCTCCAGGCACCCAGGGGCTGTTTGTGTTTCTACCTCCTCAGCCCTTGCTGTAATTACTGTCACCCTCTTACGCCCATCCCTTTTCTCTGCCTGTGACTGAGAGGCTGGCACACAGCAGGTGCTCAGTGTTTGTTCAAATGAAAATGAAAAGGCAGCGTGATGAGGTAGTCTGAGGTCTAATACCTGTAAAACATTTTCTGCTGTGTGACAATCCCCACAGTTTGGTTAGTATGGTCATGAGTTCTCTACAGCTCTCTGTCATTCATTTCAATTCTTGAAGTCAACTTTTAAAATTTACTTTAAAAAATCAGAACTGCTTTTTATATCACTGCAAAGGCATCTGAATATTATTTCATAACACATTCTGATGCTCCATCAGCATATATAGAGAGAGTGGAAACAAATTTTTCAAATTGTTATCATTATTTTTATTTGTTTTTTGAGGCAGGGTCTCACTGAGTAGCCCACGTTAGCCTCCAACTCATGGTGATCCTCCTGCCTCAGCCTCCTGAGTGCTAGGATTACAGGAATGCACCACCACACTTGGCTTGAAAACTTTTAAAATAATACTTTCTAAAAGTTTGGATTCTTCCTTTTCCCTTGGATTTCAGTTTTACTATTCCATAAATTCTAAAGAACTTATTAAGTATGCCAAATCTCCAAAAAATCAGGAAAGTAGGTTTAGGGACCAGTAGGTTCAATTTAAGAGGGAGGGTTCAGTAGGACAGCAATAAAAATTCCTGTCAAGAACTTTGTTGGGGCATAATATTCCATAGCATAATATACAGGACAACCCAAAGGTCAGTTGTAAAAAGCTGGTTGCTACTTTTATAGTGTTGCACACATCTATAAAGAATTCCTAAAGCGGGCACTGTAGATTCAAGTCAATCCCAGTCCTCTGTCACAGGCCGCACTGAAAGGTCGCCTGTCCATTTCCGGAGGATCCTCGGCCTTGGCCTCAGCTCCCCCGGCTTCTCTCCCTGACTCAAAGAGCTAGCTGGCTGCCTGGGTTAACCTTACTTGTTTTCCGAAGGCTGCCACTTTGCAGTCCACCCTACACGCCTCTGGGACACACATTTCCACATCACCAGACTCCCGGGGGGTGGAGGCCAGGCCAGAAGCTGGTTTTCATTTTCTCCAGGTCCGCTTTACAACCTCTAGCTTTCACGCTTCCCAGGGTAAAAGCAACTGCTTCGGGGTCCTCGGTCTCATCAAATATTACCCACTCTGTACACACACCAAGCGTGTGACACTCGGATGCACGCACGCCGCCTGAGCCTGGTACCCAGCCCCGGCCGGATGCAGATCCCTCCGCGCCGGTGGCGAGCCCACGCTCGATGGGGTCGCGAGTCTTCACTGCCCCCGGTCACCGCTGCAAAACAGCGCTTTCCTATCTTCCCAAGGGGGACCTGTGACCACTTCCTCCTTACCACCTGGACTCGAGAAAGGACGTCACCATCCAACCGGGCTCTACCCTTCGGGGACAGGGACTCTGCGGAAGGCAGCCCCGCAGCCGACCCCACTTGGGCTCTGCGTGTCCTGGGCAGCCTCCTGGGCAGCGGCGCCCAGCCCTCGGCACCGAGGCCCGGCCCGGGCGGGACGGCTTCGCAGACGGAGAGGCGCCCGCCACCCCCGGCCCAGCCCCCATGGCCCGGCCCGGCTCACCCGCCGCCCGCGATCTGTTTCCCTCCGGTCACTGCTTCCTGGGCATCGCGCCCCTGGAGGAGCGCTCCGGACGCGGAGGCGAAGCCGGCCAGGGAGGCCGGGTGGGGGCGGCGTTGGGGCGGCCGGGCGGGCAGCGGGGTGACGCGCGGCCTCGCGACCCGCGGGAGCCGCTCAGCTGACCGCGGCGCAGGCTCGCGCTCGGGCGCGGAATTTCCCGACGGCCCCGCCCCGCCAGTCCCCGCCCCTGCAAGGCCCCGCCCAGTCCACCCCCCCCCCGGAGGCCCCGCCCCGGATTCCCCGCCCCAGGAGGCCCCCGCCCCCCAACCAGTCCCGCCCAGTCCCCCCCCCCGCCCGGAGTCTCCGCCCCCGCGCAGGCTCCGCCCCCAGCCCCTTCCCCTGGGGGAGCCGCCGGGGTATCCCGGAGGTCGCGAGGCGCCGGGCAGTCGGCGCCAAGCGTGAATCCGACCGGACGCAGACTCCGTCTTCCCGGCGTCCTGCTCGTGAGCTCCCCGGCAGACCGGAGCCACAGGGGTCGCTGCGCTCCGCGGAAAGAGGGGGAGCGTCCTGGGAGCCCCGGAGGAGGCCGGGGTCTGCATGCCTGACCCATAGGCGCGGTTCACAGCACACGTTGCTTTCAACCTGGCTTTGCTTTTTAAATCGTTCGGGTTTTGGCCGTAGTTGGGGACAAAGCCGAAGAGTGCTCCGTGCACCTCGCTGTCCTGCACCTGTTCAGGCGGGTGCGCCCGACGCCCCGGCGGGGTCTCCTGGAGGCCGCAGCCCACCTGGGAAGGCCGCGCCCCGCCCGAGGAGGGGAGAGGGCCCGGCCCGCGGGAGGCCGCCGGAGACGCTGCCGTCCGAGAGTTGCTCGCCCTGGCGGCTGCAGGGGGCAGCGGTACACAGGGCAGGGCGAGGGCGCCGTGCGAGGGGGGCTCGGAGGTGGTGGTCGCAGTGCCGCGGGCCGTGCGCGGAGCCCTGCGCCGGTGCAGCTAACCCTGCCGGGAATTGGCGCGCGGTTCGTGTCGGGGCTGGAAACCAACAGCGAAACCTGTCTCCAGAAGGGAGCAGGAAGGACCGCCCTGGAGTCCTGGAAAGAAGCCCGCCTGACACTCGGCCCGCCACACTCCTCCCCACCCAGGTTAGCCCCGGAGCAGGGAGGGAAGCGCTGAGAATAACAGGTAAAAACCAAACTCAGTTTCTCCTGTGCTCTCACTCCGCACGGAACACGGACGACTTCTGCGACCTCTGTTCACCAAGAAATGCATGGCGATGTCTCCTTCCCAACTAATCAGTTCTCTTTTCTTTTTTAAAAAAAGTTTTATTTTATTTTATCCCTTTCCCCCTCAAGCCCCCTCCCCTCCCTGTGTACGAAAGCTCTGTTTCCATTTTTCCTTCTATTTTCACTTTTTTCTGGTCCCTCCCTTCCTTTCTCCCTCCCCCCTCCCCTGTTCCCTTCCCATGTGAACACTTTCTTCCCATTTCCCAACATCCATTATACATCTCAGTCCTCATTTCCGCCTTCGGTTTCTCACACCAGAGAAACAATGCAGTATTTAAACATGTGTGTCTGATTTATTCCACCTAAGAGTACGGTCTCAAGGTGCATCCATTTAGCTAGAAACGTCTCCAGCTTATCCTTCTTTATGGCAGAGTAGTACTCCCTTGTATAAAAAACCAAATCTTTGGCTAGAGTAATTAGACAAGAGAGAAAGAAAAGGAATAAGGCTAGGAAAGGAAGAAGTCAAATTATCATTATTTGCAGATGACATGATTCTCCACATAGAAGACTCCAAAACTCCAGCAGAAGAGTCTCTGAATTAATAATCAAAGGAACAGGTTATATATTTCTATTTTCTGATGTCATCTTTGATCTCTCTTTTCAGAGTGCTATAGTTTTCATTGTAGAGACTATCCACTTTCTTGATTAGGTTAATTCCTAAGTATTTCATTTTTCTTGATGCTATTTGAAAGGTCTTATTTCCCTAATTTCTCTGTTGGTGAGTTTATTATTGGTGTACAGCAATGCTATTGGTTTTTGAGTGGCGATGTTTTATCCTGCTATGATACTGAATTTGATTATTGCTTCATACTTCTCTTGTTTAATTGCTCTAGTTAAAGTTTTGAGAATTATATTGAACAGGAGCAGTAGTAGTGGATATCCTGGTCTTGTTCCTGATTTTAGAGGGAGAGTTTTCAGCTTCTCTCTATTTAGTATGATTTTAGCTGTTGGTTTGTTATAGATGGCTTTAGTCACATTGAGACAGAAACTATACTTATTTTCTTCATGGGTTTTATTGTGAATGGATGTTGGATTTTGTCTAATGCTTGTTCTGTGTCTATTGAGATTTTTGTCTTTGGTTCTGTTTATGTAATGTATTATATTTATTGATTTGCATATGTTGAACCATCCCTACAACCTTGGAATGAATCCTACTTGGCCATGATGTATGATCTTTTTGATGATTTGCTGCATTCTGTTTGTCAGTATCTTATTGAGGTTTTTGCATTCATGTTTATTAAAGAGATTGGCTTGTAGTTCTCTTTTTTGGTTGTGTTATTTTCAGGTTTTGGAATTAGGGTAATGTAAGCTTCCAGGAATAACTTTTAGAGTACTCCGTCCATTTCAAATTCAATGAAGTTTGATCACTATTATTGTTATATTATCCCTAAAATTTTTTCAGAATTAGGCAGTGAATCCATTGAGATGGGCTTTACTTCACTGGTAGTTTTATTTTTATTGCTATTTCAATCTCATTGACTAATATTGGATTATCAGGACTTTAATATCTTATTCATTTGGCTTTGGTACTTCGTATCTATCTAGAAATTTATCCATTTCTTCTGAACTTTTCATTTTATTAGAGTACAGATTCTCAAAGAAGTTACCAGTGATCTGGAAGAATCCAATGTGGCTTCACCTTTTAAATTTCTGATTGCATGGAATTGGGTCTTTTCTTATTTTGGTAAGATTGGCACAAAGTTTGTTTATTTTGTTTAATCTTTCAAAAACGAACTCTTCGGTTCATTGATTCTCTGTATTATTTTTAAGTCTCAATTTTGTTAATATCTGCTCTGATCTTCATAATTTCCTTCCTCATACTAGCTTTGAATTTGAATTGTTCTTGTTTTTCTAGGTCCTCAAAGTTCTACATTAAGTTATTTATTTAAGCTTGCTCTTTTTTTCTCATGTGGAAATTCACCACTATAAGCTTTCCTCAGAACTTCTTTCATTGTGTCCTGTAGGTACTGGAATGTCATACTGGCTTTTTGGTTTGATTGTAGGAACTGTCTAATATCTTCTTTAATTTCTTCTCTGAATCTTTGATTATTCAAGAAGGTATATTTGTTGGTATACTTTTGTGGTGTCTTTTACCACTGATTTCTAGTTTCATTGTACTATGATGTGATAATATGCATCGGGTAATTTTGATTTTTTTGCATTTACTTAAGCATGCTTTATAGGATAGTATGTGGTCTATTTTGGAGAAAGTCCAATGCGTTGCTGAGAAGAATGTGTATTTTGTTGTTTTTTGATGGAACACTGTAGATATATATTAAGTTCATTTGGTTTGGTTCAACCTTGAAATTTCTTGATTTTTTGTCTAGTTGATCTGTCTATTTGTGAGAATGAGGTATTGAAGTCCCCCATTACAATTGTATTGATGTTTGTCTGATTTTTATATCCATTAATGTTCATTATATGAACATATTTGTGTATAATTATCTTTTCCTATTAAATTGTTCCCTTAAGAAGTATGTAGTGACCTGCTTTGTCTCTGCTCATCAGTCTTAGCTTGAAATCTACTTTCTCTGAAGTTGAGATATCTGCTCCTGCTTTTTTCTGAAATCCCATTGCATGGAATATTGTTTTTCATCATTTAGTTTTTAATCTGTTTCTTTTTGAATTAAATGTTTCTTGTATGCTGAGTATTGTTAAATTTTGTTTCTTGATCCATTTTGCCAAACTGTGACTTTGGATTGGGGAACTGAAACCTTCTTGTTGAGTGTTCCTACTGACAGTTATTGACTTATTCCTGTCATTGCATTATTTTTCTGTTGCTTATTTCCTTATCTTTTTCTTTTGATTAGTCGCTCATTCTGCCAAATGTGTTCATTCTTTATGACTTATTGACATTGCTGGCTCCATTGTCTCTTTCTAGGATATCCTTGAAAATTTCTAGTAATTCTGGTTTGGTCATCATGAATTTTGTGAGGTTCTCTTTTTCTTGGGAATACCTTGTTTCTCCATCAGTTTTGAAAGAAAGTTTTGCAAGATACATAAGTCAGGGTTAGAAGCTGTTATTTTTTTATGGCTTGAAACACTTCATTCCAAGCCCTCCTGGTCTTTAAAGTTTGTGTAGAAAAGTCTGCTATAATTTTAATGGGTTTAAATTTATATGTGACTCATCGCCTATCTCTAACACCTTTTAAGATTATGCCCCTATGAGGGACTTCTCAGATTTTGAGTATGATGTGCCGTAGAGAGGTTCTCTTTTGGTTATGGCTATTCGAGTTTCTCTATGCCTCACTTATCTGTATGCTAATTTCTTTCCACGTATTTGGAAAATTTTTGGCCGTTCTTTCTGTAAACATGTTTTGTATGCCATATGTGTTGTTGTCTGACTTTTCACTTATTCTCATTAATCTTTGATTAGTCTTGTTTGTATCACCTAGAAGCTGGTGGATCCATTTTTCATGTTGTCATGTTACTTTTAAGATGTCTTTGAATAGATGGTCTTTGAAGGCACCATTGTCTTTTATTTCCGAAATTCTGTCCTTATACTGCCAATACTTTTAATATGATTTTTAATCTCCTGAATTTTTTTATTGAAACCTTTTTGAGGACCCTAATTCTTTGGTAAACTGGTCATGCATATTTTGAATAATTTTGCTTAACTCATCCAATTTTTTTTTTGTACCGGGGATCGAACTTGGGACCTTGTGCTTGCACGGCAGGCAGCGGCACCACTGAGCTAAATCCCTGGCCCTCATCCAATTTTTTATTAGTGTCTTCTGAAAGCTCCTACATCTTTTTGGTTATTATTTCTATTATCTCTTTAGTTATATCTTCTCTGATCCTTTTTGACCTATTTTTACCTCCTCTGTTATCCTTTTGAGCAGTTTAAATGTGCGGCTTATGCCTCTCAGTGTCTCTCAGTGTCCCCTGGATTGGCTTTGAGGGAGTTGGGAGTTTTGGGAGGCATTTTGTTGCCTTGTCTTCTCATGTTTCTATTTTTTGTTTACTTGTTTTGTCCTGAGGTTTGTGGATGCTTATCATCTAAAGACTTTGTTGCTAGTATACAGATCTCTTTAGTTTTTAGTGATGAACTTAGGAAATGGCTAACGATAATCCTTTGCCACACTCCAAGATCCAAGCACCTTGGTTAATCTGGGAGGAGACTATGCAGTGTGTATCAGTCAGTGCTTACTAGGAAGCAGATTTAATGCAAGATGTACAAACATATAAGAATTTATAAGATTGGTTTACAGTGGCTGCCCAGAGTCAGGTGTGGAAGAGTGCAAAAGGACTGTCTGTGAGCTAGAAATCTGAAGGATCTAGTTGAAGGCCTGGAGCTCACTGTAGTGTCCCATATGAGTTTGTACCAGGAGGCAAAAGAGTCTGCAAAGAAGTCTGTGCTGGAAGCCATGTGGTGACAACCAAGGCAAAAGTGAAGACTGGGGCTCCTCTGAAGAAACAGAAGCAAGCCTTCTTTCTTTGTTTCTCTTTTATACCATTCAGGCAACAAGCCACCCTAAGGTGTCTGCAGTAAATCCCCTCAGCGACACTCAGACTATGCTGGTCCAATTCAGTTGGGTGTTTCTTACTCAAGTTGATACAGTCAGTTAACTACCACACAGTGTAATTGGCCCAACAACCAAGTTCTCTGGAAATGTACTCTACTGCCAGGCATGATAGTGTATGCCTATAATTCCAGCACTCAGGAGGCTGAGGCAGGAGGATTGTCATGAGTTTGATTCCAGCCTGGACTACATAATGAGTTCAAGGCCACCCTGACCTACATAGCAAGACCCTGTCTCAAAAAACAAAACAAAACAAAACAAAAACCACAAAAGAAATGTACTCTAGTATCGTTAATGTCTCTAAAGTAATCTGAATTTTTGCTTACAGAGAAATAGCAAAATTATGTGATCCTATTACTAGCAGGCAGATCATCTA